AATCTTGCAGAATAGAATGGGCGAATTTCAAAAATTTCTCTCCATCCTATTGGGAATCGTATTCCCTATTTTAGAAAAATCATATTTTTCAAGGATCAATCTTGAACCAAGAACCGAACCAAATTTGAACAAAAGCAGTAGGAGAGGGATATACCTGATATGGAGAAATAGTATCTCCCAATAGAGGTGTTCACACCCAAGGAAGGAACCAAAAACTGCTCCCACTGAAGATGGCACAGTGCAGGATGGAGCAGAATCAGCAGCGTTCTTCACAAGAATCAGATCCTTCGCAAGAGTCAGCTGGATGGCACGTGAGTACATCTTCCAATCAGCCTTTCACAAAGGATTGATATCAAGATCCAATCTTGATTACTCCCACTGAGAATAGGAGATCGAACTGGCAGATATGGCGGCAGCAGGAAGGAGATCCAATCTTCCAATCAGCCTAAAGGCTACCGCCTCCTCCTCCTTTTATAATCTTAAAAGGATCAGCTCCTAATCCCATTAGGAGTTGCTGATCCAAATCATATTTGGATCAGAATTCCCTTTAAGTGATAAGCGTAAACCCTTATCTTATCTGGAGATTAGATCAGCCCCCTCCTAATCCTATTAGGAGGTTTCCATATCTGAATTACATTCAGATCTGGACTCTCTGAGTGGATAGGGTTAAGACCCAATCCTATCTGCTAATCTAATCTCAGAATTCGCCCCTTATTTAATTGATCAAATCAGCCAAGTTCGAAATGGGCTTTAGGCCCAATAAGGTTATGTGCTCACTTAGCCTTCCAAACTGCTGCCTAGTTAGGCTTCCTTGTATGGTGTGGGACCCAAACATTGATCTACACATCAGCCACATGGGTTTAGCTCAGCCTTTATTACAAGGTCTGTCCGAATACACTGTTATGGACAGTGCACCCCCTGAAACCCATCACATAGGCTCTATGGGCCCAATACTTACCCTAAGTGGTCCCTGGGCCAAGTCACCTTGTCACACCCAGGGACTGTGGGAGATGCAAGATTAGCCCATCAGGTATTACCCTCAATGGTCTTACACTTAACCTCTCAACCCATAATGATGAAACAGTGCCCGACAAGAGAGGACCTCTCCCTCGGCTGCAAGGAACAGTGTTGCACTCTCTACTCACATGGATCCCGGGAATTAAAACCTTTTGCAAACGTTTGGAAACCATAATATATATACTTTTATATCTCATATAAAATATATTTTGCAAAACAAATCTCAACGATTGAAATCGGTTGCTGGCAGTCTTGGTTTCCATCAGAGAGAGTGCATCCCCGATCATTACCTTTGTCCGACAAAGGGGCTGATCCTGTCCCTATGATCACCCACTCAGATGAATTCTCAGACTGTCCCAATATACCTAGGTTTTGACCCCCGCTAAGGATCTCACTGATTGGCATATCAAAGATAGCCCAATCCGATACCTAGTTCAATATCATAATCGAGTCTAGGGGTCAGGTGTAACTTTCCAGTTTTTCCCATAAATCTCCAAGGTCCAGGGCAATATTGGAAATCTGGTCCGGTTCAAAGATTCAATTAATCATACACTGCATGTGCCTTGGGTCTCACCCTGGTGGCTGAGACAGGCCACCCCAACATTTGGCAACACACCAGTGTCAGCCTTGGCAGGATAAATCTCCCCAGACTTATCCAACGGCTGTGAATATTCTAACCTAACACGAGTCTCATAAGTGTCCAGTTTAAGGGTATTACACAAAAACACACCACAGGAACATGAATCAAATATGTACTTTATTCATTTACAATAAATTCATAATGTACATCATTTTGATTGGAGCTAAGGGCATCCAACTGTCTAATAGGTTTTGACTTTCGACGGCAGTAGCACCAGCACCTTGGCCGATACCAGGGTTACCCTAACCTCGCCCGGCGAACACACGTCCACTTATTCTTTCAAGTTCTAGTTCCCCTGTTCACATAACATAACGGAGTATGAGGCCCTAGTCTTAGGTCTGACCGAAGCAACAGAGTCTGGCGCAAAGAAAATCAAGGTGATTGGCCAGCTCGATGGAAGTACAACAGTAAAGGAATTAACTATCCTGCCATATAGAACCTTGATCCAGAAGCTAGTCTGCAACCTGGAAGTAGATTTCAAGCATTAAAGTAGAGGCAAGAATAGGGTCGCCAATGCACTGGCCACTTAGGATCTAAAATACAATCCAGCACAGAGCCAATAAAGATCACCATCCAGTCAGTCGACAAACAATCAACCGTCATTATGAAAGATTGGGTAGAAAAGGAGGATGAAATACCAACGGACGATTGGAGGCCTGAAATAGTCTAGAAACTGAAAAGCTAGACCATAGGGACGTAGGACAGCAAGCTACTTGCAAAGTTTCAGTTAGTAAACAGGGTACTATACCATAGATAGTCAGACGGGGTGAGAACCAGATGCCTAGGAAAAGATGAGGCTGAAGTAATCCTGAATGAAACATATAAGGCCCATTGTGAGGATATTTCAAGCACCCTATACAAAAAATTACAAAGGTTAGGGTATTACTGGCCTGCGATGAAGTCTGACTCCGCTAAGGTCTAGCGAGAATGCGATAAGTGCATCCCATAAGTAGACGAAAGAGAATGCCTTGTGGTTTTTGATGAGGACTGGAGGGGAATGTATATAAGTTATCTGCGAGATCATACGCTGCCCACTGATACTACATTGAGAAGAAGGCTATTATCTAAGGCTTTGCAGTTCTATCTCCAAGGCGGAATGCTATACAGGAAGTCATATGAAGGGATGAGAGATCCATCATATGGAAGGCTGAACCCTACAGGATGGTTGGGCGAAATTTCAAAAATTTCTCTCTCTCCCATATGGGAATCGCATTCCCTATTTTAGAAAACTGCATTTTCAATGATCAATCTTGAACCAAAACCGGATCAAATCTGAAACAAAAAGGGAGGAGAGGGATATACTTGATACAAAGTAACAATAACTCCCAATGAAGGTGTTCATGCCCAAGGAGAAAACCAAAACCCGCTTCCACTGGAAATGGCACAGTGTGTAGTGAAGCAGGATCAGTAGGACGGCTCTTCAGCAAGAACCAGATTCTTCAGCAAGAATGGAGTAGAAGGCTAGTGAGCACAACTTCAGATTACTTCTTCTGCTAAGAAGCAATATCAAGAACAATTCTTGATCACTCCCACAAGTAGAGATCGAACTAGGTAGGGGCGGCAAGAATAAGGAAGAACTCTACAGATTGTTGTGTTGTGTAACTGAGGAATTCACCCCCTTTATTTATAGCCCTCTCAGGATTAGCCTCCTAATTCAATTTGGAGAGAGTTCCTTAATCCAAATCTGGTATTTGGATTTGGATTCTTGAATGGATAAGACTTATCTTATCCTTCGGCTAATCATAATCAGATTATAAATCCTATCTTGCCTCCTTTTAATTAACTAACTTAAGCCCAGATCGAATTGGGCTTTAGGCCCATTAAGTTTATGTGCTCACTTAACCTCTTAACCTACTGCCCAGTTGGCTCTCTTTGTATGGTGTGAGACCCAAACATTGATCTACACATTAGCTACATGGGTTTATCCCAGCCTTTGTTACAAGGCCTGGCCGAATTAACTGTAGGAGACAGTGAACCCCTTGAATCCATCACTATGGACTCTTAATGGGCCCAACATTTATACTAAATGGTCCTTAGGTCTAGCCACCTTATGAAAACCCAAGGACTGTGGGTAGATGCAAGATTAGTCTATCATGTATTACCCTCAATGGTCTTACCCTTAACCTCTCAGCCCATAATGATCAAACACTAACCGACAAGATAGGACATCTCCCTCGACTACAAGGAATAGTGTTGCACTCTCTACTCACATGGATCCCAAAAATTAAAACCTTTTGCAAACATTTTGAAACCATAATATATATGTATATCTCTATATAAATATATTTTGCAAAACAAATTTCAACGGTTGAAATCAACTGCCGACAGTTTAGGTTTCCATCAGAGAGAGTGCATCATTGATTCACTTTGTCCGACAAAGGGGCTGATCCTATCACTATGATCACCCACTCAGATGAATTCTCGGACTGTCCCAACATACCCAAGTTTTGATCCTCTCTAAGGATCTCACTGATTGGTACATCAAAGACAGCCCAATCCGACACCTAGTGCAGTGTCATAATCGAGTCTAAGGGTCAGGTGTAATATTCCAGTTTTGCCTATCTATTTCCAAGGTCTAGGGAAATACTGAAATTTTGGTCTAGTTCAGGGTTTCAAGAAAATCCACACTGCCTGCACCTCAGGTCTCACCCTGGTAGCTGAGACAAGCCACCCCAACCAACTTGGTGGCACATCAATGTCAACCTTGGCAGGATAAATCTTCCCAGATCTATGCAACGGCTATGAAGATTCTAAACTAACATGAGTCTCATAAGTGTCCAGTTTAAGGGTATTACACAGAAACATACCAAAACACATGAATTAATTATGTACTTTTATTCATTTATAATAAATGTCATCAAGTACATCAATGTGATTGGAGCTAAGGGCATACACTGTCTAACATCATATACAGAGAAACCTTTGCAATGCCTAGTTGGCAATGAGGTTGAAGAAGTACTAGAGGCCGCCCATAGCTCCAAACCGGCAGCCCACCAAGGACAGCTAACATTATATAATCGTATCCTGCACCTAGGATTCTACTGACCAACTATAATGGAGGATACTCAGAGACATGTGCACAAATATCATAAGTTTCAAATCCATGCTAAAATAATCCACAAACCCGCCAACAACCTTCACCCAGTCATCACACCCTGGCCTTTTCATACTTGGGGGGTAGACCTAATAGGCAAGATACATCCCCTTCCAAAGGATATTGCTTTATCATAGTGGCCACAGATATTTCACCAAATGGGTAGAGGCCATACCCTTGCAAAGAATTTGCGTAGACAACATAGCCAACTTCCTAAGGCAGAACATAGTCCACAAATTCGGAGTCCCAATGAGAATCCTAACAAACAACGGCCTATCCATCAAAAATCAAGAAGTTCATGACCTTCTAGGGCAATATAGTGCAAGACTTGGGACATCAACACCATATTACCCACAAGGCAATGGACAAGTAGAAGCCACAAACAAGACCTTAGTAAGGATGTTGAGTAAAACAGTGGCTGATAATCAAAAGGATTGGATAGAAAAGCTGTCAAAAACCCTCTGGGCCTATCACATCACTATTAAGAAGAGCACACAGGTGATGCCCTATTCATTGGTCTACGGCCAGGAAGCGGTACTACCAGCAAAAATATGGGCTATATCCGCTCGACTAGCCTTTGCGATGGGTAAGAAGGTTAAACCAAAAGACATGGACCGCTTACTCACAGATAAGCTTAAAGCTATAGACGAAATCAGAGACATGACCATGCGAAAGTAGACCAAATATAAACAAGCCCTATCCACAAACTTCAATACACTGAGACCTAAAAACTTCAAAGAAGGGGACAAGGTGCTCAAAACAGCGATAAATGTTAGATAAGGAAAATCTGCGAAAAAATTCACCCCAACATGGAAGGGGCCATATGTGATAAAAAAAGCCCATGCATCGGGCTATTATGTACTAAAGACTGTAGATATGGAGGAAGAGGACGAAACAATCAATGGCTATTGGTTGAAACCTTACTTCGAGTAATACTGAACTTATATAATTTCATTACTGCATGTACTCACTTCAGAAGTAAATGTATAATGCTTCAATGTTTTCGTTTTCTTTGTGACTATGCTTTACTTATGAATAGTTGTACTCAATTCCTAATACACATATCAACAGTTTGTATTTTGCTATAAAGTTTCTTCTATAGTCTGTTTGCGATAAAACCTCAATGTATCCATATGTCTTATTGTTGTGGCAAAAATTCATGCTTTCAACGATACAATCTATGTACTAACTTTTGAATATGCCTTTCATATATGCTTTTATTCCCTAGCAACCCTAGGAAGGCCCTAGCAGTCCTAGGTGCACTCTCATTCCCTAGCAACCCTAGGAAGGCCCTAGCAACCCCAAGCGCGATCTCATTCCCTGGCAACCCCAGGAAGGCCCTGGCAGGCCCAGGTGCAATCTCATTCCTTGGAAACCCCAAGAAGGCCCTAGCAACCCCAAGCGCAATATCATTCCCTGGCAACCCTAGGTGCGATCTCATTCCCTGGCAACCCAAGGTGCCATCTTATTCCCTAGCAACCCTAGGAAGGCTTTAACAACCCCAGGCGCGATCTCATTCCCTAGCAACCCCAGGAAGGCCCTGGCAGCCCCAGGTGCAATCTCATCCCCTAGCAATCCCAAGCGCATTCACTGTCATTCCCTGGCAACCCTAGGAAGGCCCTGGTGACCCCAGGTGCACTCTCATTCACCGGCAACCTCAGAAAGGACCTAGCAACCCCAAGCGTGCTGACATCACCTGGTAACCCCAAGATTGCACTCACATCCCCTAGCATCCCAAGAAGGTTCTGACAACATCAGGTATAATCTTTCTCCAATCCATGACTATAGTTGCTTTAATACCTGCAAATGCGATTATCTAAATAATGACTAAATTCCAACCACCCCACATGAAGGACCCTGCCTTCTTAAGGCATGACAACCCTCAACCCTTATACGGGTGGCGAACTAGCATCTCCCTACAAAGAAACCCAACTTACATTTTCTACAAAAACAGACCTTTAACACTCATTTCCCGGTTCGTGTTACTCTTTCGCAATTCTATGAATATGTTAGCCACTTATTTACTTGTCCATTATTCGAGTTAGTTCACTCACACCTAATAGTGTCTCGAAACGACGAGATAACACTATTCGATTTCTCTAACGATCTGTGATAAAATTTATCATGTGCTAATACTTAATTGCAAACAAACCCAACGGGAGCTCAGGAAATACTTAAATAATGTTACTCTCGATGTTTCCTACAAACCCACGAACCACTCTCCAATTTTAAGTGAACGACTCCTGATTGTCTTTCTCAACGACATTGAAACACCCCTACTGAGCCTCCAGCATAATGGGCCCGCACGGTGTCTTTCTCATTAATACGTAATTAATGACTGACCAAAAACACAATGATGCTCAACTACGATTAACGTCCAGAAAACTCATAATTCAGACTATCCCCTTATGAACTCATATGCGATAAAGTTTTATTTCGAAATCAAACATTCTCGACGAGTGACAATTTTCTTGGAAGTTGTTGCAAAGGCCCCCCAATGTAGAGCTCTAATATAAAGGGGTAAGCATGATGATGAGATAAAGTACCTTCACCCACGCACAGTTGTAATAGAGATAAAGAAACTAAGGCACATATAACCACAAAACCGTGAAGAGCAATTTCAGCAAACAAAGATTCTTTACATTTCATTTGCACTTTCTTTACATTTATGATTTCTACATTTCACGAGTTAGCCCATTCTTGCCTCATTGCGACAATGAACCCAACGCCTGGCCGCACCCCTCGAAGCTTCTAAGATCTTCTAATTCTGCTTCGTACTCGGCAAGGATCTTCTGCTGCCTCGACTATTCAGCCTTGAGTTCCTCCAACTAACCCACAACCCTGGCGATACTGGCTTCAATTATGTTCAGGCGAAGACGCACGTCCATCATCAAACAAAATAGTACAGATTACAACACATGTAGACTGTCCTTCCAAAATGCATGAGCCAACGTCACAACCCGACGCTCGATATGCAACATATTAAATCCCATCGCAGCAAAGGTCTTGCATACCTCTAACCAATGGGTGAAGTCCGACCAGGAAAGCTATTCAACAGGCAGGTTCATTATACGATCCATCATAGTGGCAACGGTGTTCAACGCGGACCTGACAACAACTGGATGAAAATTTGCCAACGGGAGCCACCCATGCTGCACAACTATTGAGGCAAACTTGGCCACCAAGCCGAAAACAGAGTACTTCTCTCTCTTACAGCTGCCCTGAACGTCCACAGGACCCTCAGTTTGATAACCCAGAGGAGGGACATCATGCTTATCACAATACTCCCTCAACTCACGGTGAAGTTGTGATAAGCATGATATCACACTAAATTTTATTTGGTCTGTGATAAAGACCTCCTATACTTTCTTTTGTGACAAAAACCCCTTAACAGAATATATTAAATTACCAAAATATCTCACTAAATTTTTTTTTATTTTCTTTTTTTATCCTTTTTCTCATAAAACCTATTTAATCTATTGTTTTCCTTTCTTGTCTTCTTTTTCCTTCCCTCACTATCCTCTCTCATTCTTTCTCTCTCCCAACCGATTAGCTACTAATCAGTATCGATTCATGCTCATAAATGTCTGAATCAGTGATGATTTATAAAATAATAAGTAACCAGAAAAAAAAAGTGGGTTTTGAGTTAACAAGGACTAACTCTGTGACCGAATTAATTGAGTTTCGTGGACTCAACTCATTCTTACCTTATATTAACATGATTACTATATTATAATCATTGATGTGATGAGAAGTCGCTTTCGCTGTTTGTTCTTTCAGATTCAGAAACTCATTTGTGTAAGTGTTAATGGAGAGAACAGAATCGACATGGCAGCATTGGCCGTGAAAAGGGCTTATCATCCCACAGATCTCTGCCAAGCGAACTGTTCAACAGAGATATGTTGAACAAAGATCTCTGTTGAAATGGACTCAAGAGTCATGTGCTTGAACATTTCAACAGCACACAAGCGAACTTGAACATTCTTGTTCAAGCGAACTGTTGAACTAGGGATCTACTTCAAATTTCTGTATACAAGGGTAGTATTTTGAACGGAAAACTAACGGAAGGGGTCTTTATCTCATGGAGTCACGGTCATAGTACAGGGGGTTCTTTGTGGCAAAACAAAGTACAGGGAGTCTTTGTCACTGACCTCATAGTACAAGGGGGTCTTTGTAATTAATCCAAATTACAATTTTAGAGGCTGTAAGAAGTGCCTCTAAAATGTCCCTCTAAGTTTGCCTCCTATAATGCATTATAGTTAGGGGTGGCAACGAGCCAGTTTTTCACGAGTTGCTCGAGCTCGGCTCGGCTCGGTTGAAATCGAGCTCGAGTTTGAACTCAAACCCAATTCAGTGGCTTGATTATGAAACGACCCGAGCTCGAGCCCACTAGAACTCAGTTCGTGAGGCTCGCGAGCCGGTTCGAATATATATATAATAAAAATATTATAATAATTAATTATTATAATTCTTAATTTTTTAAATATCATATAAAAATATTATTTTTATATATAATTTTTTATTTTTATTAAATATTTTTCTTAAAATCAAACTCGAGCTTATAAATTTTTTACTCGAACCGAGCTCGAACTCAAATTTCTAGCTCGAACCAAACTCGAGCCTTATAGAATATTCTCGAGCTGAGCTCGAACCTGATATTATTCAGTTCGGCTCGGCTCAAATCCACCCCTAATTATAGTGGCAGTTTTTTTGACCGCGTCGTGTACCCTCTAAAGATAAAATTCTAGTAGTGCATATTTGGTCCACAAGGTTGGAATCCTCCTTGTAGATCTCTTCTCTCCCTTCTCTACGCTCCCCTCTCTCCGGCTTAAAAACACACACTCTCTCAGGTAGTAATAGAATGGACTAGAATTCAAAGAATTTTAAATAAATTCATCGGAGAAATGACGAAAGGGATTTATTGCAACAAAGCTTTTCTCCTCTTTAGCTTCAAACCGGTAAGTGTCTGAAAGAGTAAAACTGATGATTTCCTTGTTCTTTTTCTTCAGTGAAGTGTACTTTTTATATATTTAAATTCTTTCTTTGCTTTGAGTGGAATTATTTTCCTTTGTTTTCTGTTTATCTTTTGCTTATTTTCCCTTTTTCATTTCAAGTGTAAAATAGTAGTGCTAAAGTGACCAGATTTACACTGACCAAGAACTGGTTGTTCGAGTGTCAAATGGAGCAATTCTTTATTAACAGTGGATGATGAGCAATCCTCTGTTAGAGGATTGTCCACATAATCAAGACCCATTGATGAAAAATGCATCCTTCATCTTTTAAATGGTTGGAATTGGACAGACAACCAAACAGAGAATTGCTCTTTGTTTGATTAATACCAATATCGGTTTCCAGTAAACCAAGATTATTGCTTTTCAGTAACAGATTTATTGAAGCTAAAAGCATTCAGTAACAGAATTGCTAGTCCCCCAAAAGGAGATGGCATCACCGATCCTCCCTGAATCAAGCAAACAGAAAATCATCAAGGAATCCATAGTCCATACGCGTCAAGCTGCTGCCTGCATCTCAATGGATCACCAGAAAGCACATGCGCTAGTTATACCAGCACCGGTACAGGGCCATGTCATGCCGCTCATGGAGCTGTCACAGAGCCTGGCTATTCGAGGGGTCAAGGTTACATTTGTCACGGAAGAATCACTGAAGAATCACTGGCCATA